GCGGCCTTGGGCAGATCAAACAGCCTCTCTGGGACTCAGCAAAATCAGGGAATGGGGATGGACAATCTGTAGGGTTCTATCCCTTTCTCAAAACCAGTCATTCAAATTTGTTAAATTAGTGACTTGAGTTGCCCTATTTCCATCCTTCAAAGAGATTCTAAATTGCCATTTCCCCTTTAAACTCTAGCCGGAAAAATCAAAAGTTACCCTCAACCCTACCTGAGTCCTTCTCTTCTTTCACTACTAAATTTTCATCTTTTTTTCCTCTCGTAACTTCACCCAAGAATATGAGGGAAGGAGGGAGGTGAAAGAGTGAGAAGAGTCAAAGCATGGCTAATTTTGGGAATCTGAGTGACTGGGATCATGATGGTCTCATCATCAGAAAAAGTGAAGTTTAGAGGAAAGAAAGATTTTTTGGAGGAGGAGAAGACAACCAGAAGAACATGATGAGTTCTGTTTTGAGTATGCAGAGTTTGAGGTTCGAATGGAGATAGTGATGTCTCATAGGCAGTTGGCTATGTAATGCCAGAATTCAAGAGAGAAAGATCTACAGCTGAAAGAAACCCTAGAGATGAGCTAGTCTGGGCCTCTCATTTTATAGATGGGTAAACAGACCCTGTCTTCAGTACACTGAAATAAAGTGACATTCCATTCCTTTCCAAGAGGATTGCCTCATTTTAGCATGCTTCCCCAGGTATTTGCTATCAATGATGTGTCTGAGAGAATATATATGTACATATATATATGTATGTATGCGGTTATTGTTTTTCATTTGATTAGTCATATCCAACTCTTCGTGACCCCATTTGGGGTTTTCTTGGCAAAGATACTGGAGTGGTTTGCCATGTCCTTCTCTAGCTCATTTTACAGATGAGGAAACTGAGGCAAACAGGGCTAAGTCCAGGGTCACATAGCTAGTAAGGGTCTGAGGCTAGATTTGAACTCAGGTTTTCCTGACTACAGGACCAGCATTCTATCCACTGTGCCACCTACTCCTTCTCTTGACCTAGGTTTAGAACTCATTTGAATCAAACCCAGTTTTAGATGGTCTATCACCTAGTCCATTCAGCTGTCAAAAGCACTGGGTGGGCGGAATTTAATGGCAAGAAAGAGATGAGATCATTTAATGCTGACAGCATCTGAATGAACACATTTTCACATCATGACTTCAAGGATCTGTAATTTCACCCATGTGAGTACTCAAAAAAATGCAGACAACACCCCCCTCCATGCCTTAATGATGTTATAGCAAAAAACCCCCAAACAAACAAACAAAAACTCTCAAAAAACAAAACCCTCCATCGCCTGGTGACCAACCAGGGCTAGAAAGACTCTATAAGGAAAACCCCAGAAGAAATGTAGCTGGTCAAGAAGAGCTTCTTTATACTCAGAAGCTCTTGATGATTTCTTCAAACTTAGGCTGGAACTTGGATGACAGATTTACTAACACATGGGCCATTGTCAGGCCTGTATTTTTCCAGAACGTGTGGTATCTGGCATTGCCTTTAAGAACCTAGTGTCACTTCAGTGCCACAGCCAGATACAAGACTAAAGTGCCTATTATGTATAATGCACCTTGCTAAGCACTGGAAATACCAAGGTGAAATAAAACATAGTTCCTGCCCTCCAGGAAATAACTTGCTTAAGAATCCTGAATAATAAACCAACCCATGGCTCTTTTTAGGGTCCTTATTCCTATCTATACTATCATCTTAGATCCATTAGTGATGGCCACTGGATTATTGTATTTGTAGCCATTAAGGAGCTGAGGACTGGTCTTGTGATTTCAGTGGAATAGGGGACTGTCTGGAGAGAAAACTCTCTCTACCCAACTAGGTCAGGAACTTCTTTGCAATTTACAGCCTTAGTGAGTTGTCTAGTTGGCTGAGAGATTAAGTGATTTGGCCAAGGTCACACAGTCAGCAGTGTCAGAGATGGGCCTTGAACTCATGTCATCCTGGTTCTGAGGCTGCTAGGTGGTACAGTGAATAGAGTGCTGGGTGTAGAGTCAGGAAGACCTGAGTTCAAATGTGACCACAGATGCTTATTAGTTGTATGATTTTGGGCAAGTCACTTAGCTTCAGTCTCACTGAACCTAAAATGAGGATTGTAAGTACCTACTTCCTAGGGGTGTTATGAGGATCAAATGACGTGCTATTTGTAAAGTGCTTACCACTGTGCCTGACATATAGAAGGCACTTAATAAACGTTCTCCCTCCTCTTCTCAATTCACTCTAAGTGAAACTTTTACTGTACTGAGGACAAAAATTGAAATGTGTGTACCCTTTAACTGCTCAGCAGTTAAAGAAATTAGTCAAAAGGTCTAAAATAATTAAAGACTTAAAAGGCTTACATAATTTCTGGTTTTATTTGTTATGTGCTGATAATCTGGGTCTTTATTCTATGTGTTTGGGGCAGATATACCGTTGTTCCCTTCTTTAGTAAAACAAAAAGGCAGAAGGAGGAAGGCCAACTCCCCCACTTTGCAGATAAAACAAGCCCAGGGATGTTAGAGGGTTCCTTAGCATAAGAAGAAGGGTGAATAGAAACTTTTTTCTAGTTTAAAATATTCAGAATTTCTTCTGAATTCACTTTATGTCTGGGTGGTTCCTCTGAACTTTATTTCTATATTCTATTGTTGAAGCTGTGTTATTTTTCCATAATCCTCCTTTCCCAAGAGCCAAGTTCTCCAACAGCTTTAGCCTCCAACCTCCCTGGACCACTTATATTCCATCTTCAATCTTCCTTTGATTTTATTGGCACTAAGCTATTTCATGCAACATCAGTGCCCATTACTCTGTTACATGATGTATGTCCTGCCCCTGTCTCTCCTGTCTTCCTTACCCCTCTTCCCTATTTACTTTCCTCTAGGCCTTTTTGCTGTATTAGGTACTACTGACACAAAGCTAAGTAATTTCTCTTCCAAAAGAGAACCCTTTTCAAGCTTCCTTTTCTCCCTTTCTGCCCTGACTCTACCTGTTTTACAGTCGATACCTCCCTTCTCCCCCGTCCCAGTCCTGTCCACTCTTTCCTTTCCTACCTATCCCACTAGCTTCTGTTCCTGCACTGCCTCCTTTGTTTTTTTTACCTCTATGCCTATGCTCCTAGCTGTCTGGTGTTTACCCACTGGGTTTTATGACTCTTAATATTCTTTTTCTGCTTGGCCCTATGGGACTAGTGCCAGCCAAACCCATCATTCAGGGTCTTTAAGCCTGATGGGTGGAGTTCTTGCAATTGGGTTTATTTCTTTTAACTCACAGTACTTTCTTCCAGCATTTCCAGGGTAGGGGGTAGGAAGAGGAAGAATAGAGAGGAAAGTAGCAAATTGTTTCTCTCCTCTTCACCCCATAGTTGTTAGACAGCTTCCATTTGTGTGTGTGTGTGTGTGTGTGTGTGTGTTCTACCATTACTTCTGTTGTGTGGGGACTCAGCCTCTGGCCTAAATGCTTCTCACTTCCTCCCCAGTCTGGAATCCATTTTATAGATGCATTTCTCCCTAGGAACCCACAGGTTCCTCTTTTGTCTCTTCTAGTGTCCTTGAACGCCTTCAGAGTGTTATAGAGTGAAGAAGAATGATTCTTCTACCAGTCATGAGGAGGTACACACACTAACTTTCTTGGGCCTCAGTTTCCTCATCTGTAAAATGAAGGGGGTGGGTATTAGATGGTCTCTGTGGTCCCTTCAGCTCTATTTCTATGATTTGACTAGAGCAAAGCTGGGCATTCTGATCCTACTTTAATCACGGCATAACTCAGGTTTCTGTGCCTTAGTTTCCTCTGTACCACTCGGGCAACATCCTGTACCTTGCCTTTCTGGGGAAGGTTTGGAAAGGGATAAGGACGATGGATGTGGATGCAGGGCAAGCACTTTATGGGAATGGTAATGCTGGTGGGCTTACTTCAGTAGGCTTCCTAATAGCCAGCCAGAGAGTGTAGGGGTTCTGGGGTGGAATGGGACAGGTCAGGGTAAGTTAGGACTGAGGTCGGGCAGATATCAGAGGTCCTTAGGTCCCAGAGCCAGGGAGGCGAAAATAAAGGCCGAAGGAATTAACCCGAACTGGTAGAGGAGGTAGGGATGCGGGGGAGGGTTATAGGAGCAGGGAGGAGTGGGGATGGGGCGGGGCAGTTGGGACTTGACCCAGCCCCTGGGGGAACAGTCATGGGGCGGGACAAAGCAAGGGGGCCGGGTCAGCTAGCTTTTGGCTTGGGGGTCGGACCGGGCCGGCGGTGCATTTAAATCCGGCTCTGCAGCCTCTCTTAGGTAAACTTTCCCGGCTTTCCAGCACCTACTTCTTCCACCTTAGGGTAGCAGCCGGTCCCCTTGTCTGAGCACCATGCGGAGCTCCCTAGCTCCCGGCATCTGGCTCCTCCGCGCCTTCTCCAGAGACAGCTGGTGAGTAAAGATTTTGGGGAGGAGACGGGGGCCGGTCCGCGGGGCCCGGCAACTTTGAGTCTGCAAACGTGGAGCCTCTTCTGCCTCTTCCCAGGCGTGACATCCCCTGGCTCGAGAATCTCTGGAGATCTAGCTTTGCGTGGTCCTCTGATAGATATCGAGACCGGCTGTCCCAATGAGACAGCGCGACTCCGCGGCCAGTCGTAGCCCGAGCCTTGGAATTGCTGGTATGGGACGTGGGTATAGCGCACTCTGGGAGCGGGTAGTGAAAACCCTCGGGGTAAGGGTGATGATAATCCTGGCACCCTTCTGCTTGAAGATTTCCAAAGACCTAGGCTACTATTTTTGACTCACAACCTACTGGTAGGGAAACTCAGATTGTAGTGGAAGTGCTTGAGATAGCTCGCTGGAGTTCTGCTTGGCCAGTTCTTTGATGTCTCTCTTGGTGTCTGATTGCAAAAAAACTGTCCGATGGGGGGCGGCGGGTAAGGCGGAGATTGAGGGTTGATGCAAATATGATGTGAGTTGACTCGCCTCAGAGCTTAGAGTCTTGATTAGAAAGCGGGAACCTGCCAACAGAGCGCAGATTTATCACGCGGTTATGTAGCTCCTGCTTCTTTGCTTGGCCCTCACCAACTAATTGCCGGTATTTGGGTAATTCAACTTTTTTGAACCTTCTAGCCACGGGGGTTGGGGAATGGGAAGGACAAACCTCTTTTCCGAAAAAAATCTATCGTCCACTTTATGGAGCACCAGAAGCTGGCGAAGCAACAGCAGCTTACGTTTATATAGTGCTTTAAGGTTTACAGAGTGCTTTCTTCAAAACAACTTTATAAAGTCAATGGTATTTTATCGCTGTTTTACAGATGAGGAAGGTGTTCAGAGAATGACGTGTTCAAGATCACACAGGTAGCAAAGATGTGAATTTTGGCTCAGGACTCCTGACTCCAAAGTTCAGCACCTTTCTTTGTTGTTCAGTCGTTTTTAGTGGTGTCTGACTCTTCCTGACCTCATTTGGGATTTTCTTTCTTTCTTTTTTATTAACTTATTTTTAGTTTTCAACAATCACTTCCATATGCTTTTGAGTTTTAAATTTTTCTCCCCCTCCTCAAGACGGCATGCAATCTGATATAGGCTCTACATATACATTCCTATTGAATATATTTTCCCATTAGTCATTTTGTAAGGAAGAATTAGAAACAATCGGAGGAACCACAAGAAAGAGGAAACAAAACAAAACAGAAGAAAAAAAAAGAGCATATGGTATGCTTCCATTTGCATTCAAACTCCATAGTTCTTTCTCTGGATGTGGATAACATTTTCCATCATGAGACTTTTGGAGATCCTTGCTTTGCTGAAATGGCTAAGTCTATCAAAGTTAGTCATCGCACAAAGTGGCTATTACTGTCTACAGTGTTCTCCTGGTTCTGCTCACTTCACTCAGCATCACACCATACAGGTCTTTCCAGGTTTTTGAAGTCCACTTGCTTATCATTTCTTATAGCACAATAGTATTCCATTACATTCATATACCACAACTTGTTCAGCCATTCCCCAATTGATGGGCATCCCCTCAATTTCCAATTCTTTGCCACCACAGAAAGAGCTGCTATAAATATTTTTATGCATGTGGGTCCTTTTCCTATTTTTATGATCTCTTTGGGATACAGTCCTAAAAGTGCTATTGGTGGGTCAAAGGGTATGCAAATTTTTATAGCCCTTTGGGCATAGTTCATTTGGGATTTTCTTGGCAAAGGTCCTGGAGTGGTTTGCCATTTCTTTCTCCAGCTCATTTTACAGATGAGGAAACTGAGGCAAACAGGGTTAAGTGACATGTCCAGGGTCATACAGCTATTAAATGTCTGAGGCCAGAATTGAACTCGGAAAGATAAGTCTTCCTGATTCGAGGCTGGGCATTCTATCCATTACCTCACCTAGTTGTTCAGCACCTTTCTACTACCTCACATTTGCCTCTCAGGAAAGTAGTAGGGTAAGATGTTCAACTAGACTTTCCCGCCAACACATAGGCACACACTACTATTTTTCGAAGACCCCTAGTCATCCAGTATTTCTCAACCAGACCAACTGAGTACATCTTCACCCCAGGAAGCTCCTCAGGGTTAGCCAGTCTTCAGATGGTCAAAGTCAGTTTGGCTAAATTTCAGGGAAGGATTTAGACTCACCAGAAGTCAAAGAGATAGAGAGAGCGGGGGTCTAGTGGCTGGCAAGGTAGGGAGCCACCTCTAGGGTACACTGTGGATAAATGCAAGTGTTTTATTTACCTCCTAAAGCCCCTAGGTCTTTATTTCCTGATGTTAAGTTCCATCTGTTACTGCGAAAGATCAAAGCCTCCAGTAGATAGTAACACAAAAGGATTGTTTTCAAGGTTTGCTAGGGCACACAAATATTTTGTTCCAAATCTGGGAACAGTCCATAAGTATAGCTAGACAGGTAAAATAAATCCTGGATCCTGCTTTGGAGAAGGTTTACAAGTTAGAAAGAAGCAGATATAATTGTAGAATTAAATGTTATTTGAATTGATATTTGGTAACACACACACACACACACACACATACACCCGTAGCCCCTTTGGAAACAGCAGTGCATAGGGTTTGGGAACTTGGGTGTGGTGACCCTGGGAGCCTGGAATTGCTATGTAAATCTTTCTCTCTGGCCTGATCCTGGGGTCTTTTGGACTTCAAAAACACTAGAGACAATTTTGTTTGTTGTTTGGTTAGTTTTTTTTTCATCCTCCTGGACCAGGATGTCCCAAAGGTACTCTGGCAGCATAATCTGCAGATCAGGAAAAGTCACCTACCCACACTGTTTCTGTGTGATCATTGGGAGTGAATTGCAGGTTATTCCACCTTCTTCCATCCCTGGAAGGAGCCTGGAGACAGTCTCTGATAGGGGAATATGGCCTTTGCTGGGCTTTGTGTAAACATAAATCTAGGTCAGCTTGATTATTAGCAGGTCAGGTTATATATCTCTCTGATCAACTCTGAAATCCAGTGCAGGGAGGCAGGACCAGGCAGGACCTCTAAACCAATAGCAAAGTTATCTTAAACCGAGTGAGTACCCTACTGGTCCTAAGTCAGCTTAGCCCTTTTTTTCTTCCTTGTCTTGGGTATAATGCTGAAGAAGGGAGTTGATGGGACAGTCAGTCCACTAGATTCACTGATGGACATATCCAGACCTTTGAAGGAACACATAATCTGCAATGGAGAAGATTTAGGGTAGAAGAAGAAAAGGAAAGATTTTCACATGATTGGGCTAGGTGGCAAAGGGGTATATTAAACGCTGAGGAGTAACAGAATAGAATCAAGCCACAAATATTTAATGCTGCCTGTGACTATAGACAGGACAGAACTGAGGCTGTGAGAGATGCAAGAGATAAACACAGTCCCTGTCACCTACACATACCCCAAAAGATAAAAATATGAGGTAATTCTGCATTATGCCAGATAAGTGGTATCATAAAAACCCAAGTTTCCATAAAGCTTTACAGTGATGGGAACGTTGTACACACTTTGTCCTAGCTGAAATGTCATAACACTTTGTGATAATGCAATACATATAGTTATTACTCTCAGTTTAAGGAAACTGAGATTTAGCTACTTTAGCTACAAAGTCATTGCCACCAAATCCAGAACTCTTTCTTATGATGCCCTCTCATAGTAAAGGTTATGGTGTATGGATTGTAAGGCTGAAAGAATAAATGAAGCCTGAAATGAGGCAAGAGTTTAGCCCTCTGTAAGACCTTATTGCTAAGCTTGCTTCTTTTCTTTGCATATAGTAAGGGAGTAATAAAAGCTTTTTTTTAAATGAATTTTTATGGATATCTTTTTTTTACTCCCAGTAGCCTTCCCTCTGCTAAACTCCCAAGGGGCTATCCCATATGACAGATAATATTTTAAAGGAAAAAAATGTGGAATCAGCAAAACTGACTAATACATTAAAAAAAATATGAAAATATGTGCAATGTACTAGAAGACCTTCCAGCTCTGCAAAGGAACTGAGTGGGGGTGGAGCCTTATTATATCTTTTTTAGAATCAGGCTTGTTCTTTGTAGTTTTGCAATATTCACTTTTAGTTCTTTTGTGGTTCCTTCATTTACATTTTTGTAGTTATTGTGCATATTGTTTTATTGGCTCTGCTTACTTCACTTTGTATAAGATCATGTAAATCTTTTCCTATTATATTTGTTGTTTCTTGGGGGTGGTAATGCAGTGGAGAGTAGGGAATAACCAAATAACTCCCACTGAGGGCCAGGCACTGTACTCACAACCCTAAGGATACTATTATTATCATGCCATTTTACTGCTGAGTAAACTGAGGCCATGAGAAGTTAAAGGACTATTCCAGGGTTACGAGTTTCAAATGTAGTTCTTCCTGACGTCAAGTCCAAAACTACCCATTGTGCCACACCTAGCTGCCTTTAGCTGAGTATGCCCCCAAATAACTCCTGGAGGACTTAGGGGCCAGGAAAACAGGTAACCTTGGCACCACTTTACAAATATTATCTCATTTGATCCTCACAACAACCCTACCCTGTGAGATAGGTGCTGTCATTATCCCCGTGTTACAGCTAAGGAAACTGAGACAGACCCAAGATCACAGTAGTGTTTGAAGTTGCATTTGACCTCAGATCTTTCTGACTCCAGACCCAGTGCTCTATCCATTGTGCCTCCTAGCTTCCTGCAGAAGCATGGAATAATATTCCACTACATCATGTAACATGATTTGTTTAGCCATACCCCCATCAATGATAAATCTACTTTGTTTCCAGTTCTTTCCTACCACAAAAATGCTGCTATAAATATTTTGGCCCATATAAGGACTTATTCTTATCAGTGACTTCCTAGGGGTTTAAACTAGTGGTAGAATCTCTGGGCCAAAGGGTATAAACATTTTAGTCCCTTTATTTGCATAATTCCAAATTGCTTTTCTAAACGGTTGTATTGATTCACTGCTCCATCAGTCCCTGTACTTGTGTGCCAGTCTTCCCACAACCCCTCCAACATTGACTATTCCTGTCCTTTGTCGTCTTTGCTTTCTTTGTGAAGTAAAGCCCCAGGGTGGTTTTGATGTGTATTTCTCTTATTGTCAGTGATTTGGAGCATTCTTTCCTCTGGTTGTTAATAGTTTGCAATTCTTTTGAGAACTGTTTGTTCATGTCTTAAACCACTAATATACTGGGGAAAAGTGTGTAGGCTTAGTTATAATCTGTGGTCTATATATCTTGGATATCCAGGCCCTATTTGAGAAATGTGATATATGAAGACTTTTTTTTTATATGCTTCCCTTCTTATCTTAGGTGCTTTAAGTTTTGTGTAGAAGCTTTTCAGCTCATATAATCAGTTATCTATTTTATCTTTGTTGATTTGTTATTTATCTTAGCCTTTATCCCTTGTTTGGTTAAAAATGCTTGTCCTACCTATAGCTATTTGGTCTGCTTCTCTTCTAAATTTTTTTATAGTATAATTTTTTTTCCAGGATGTTTACTATTCTTTATTTTTTTTTAAACATTCTTTTGGGACTTTAATTCTTTTTAAAAATTTTTTTTATCAATTTATTTATTTTTAGTTTTCAACATTCACTTCCACGAGATTTTGAGTTCCAAATTTTCTCCCCATCTGTCCCTCCCTCCACCC